TGCACGCACGCACCTGCAGTGCATGCATGAATGTTTGCATGCATGCATGCATTGCGCTTATTTCGTGGGGTTAGGCTGACGGCCTGTCCCGATCCTCTGGCCGTTCAGGCGAGAGGAGAGCAGCCCCCTTCTATCCCCCAGAAACAGCAACAGTAGCGGCTACTGCATCATTAAAGTTATTATCATTTATGTGCATTAAACACAACATAATACACTAGAATAAAATGCAACATCATCGGGGGAGTTGTATTGCTGTTTCACGCAGAGATCGATGTGAATGGGTTGAACACTACAAACCGGAAACCCGCGGCTGAGTCAAGTTAATCTCATTTCTTGCCGCACAGAATAAATAGCAGGGGAGGGAACAGCAGCAGCAGCAGCAGCAGCAGCAGCAGCAACAGCAGCAGCAATAGTGTAGCAACAGCAGCAGTTGTAACAAAAACAACAGCAACAACAAGAGAGAGAAGAAGAGAAGAAACCAGTAATAAAAAAACCACCACCACAGCCTACCGGTCTCCAAAGAGAGATCTGTCTGGATCCAAGATGGCCACCACGAGGTCAGCATATTCCTGAGTTGCATTTGTATATATGCTGAGCTCGAATACAGATGAAAGAGCTTTAAGAAAGCGACGTAACCCCGGGCGTAACTTGAGATAATAAACTTTTCTATTACATGGGAGTTCAAATTTATATACTTCAGGTAAACCATCTTCATCAAGCCAATCTTCCAATGCTATGCTGTATCCTGCCACACCAACGGCTTGTGCATGCAATAAAGTATTATCTAAATCTAATAATAATGGTAGTTTTCCTGATAGTAATGGCTGCCGACGTAGCTCAGGAGGTAAAGCACTCGGCTCCCACTGCTTTGCTTGCTGCTGCTGTTGAGTTTCGTGCGGCGGCGTCTGTGCTTCTTCAGGTGATGGTGGGCGATGCGGCTCTGCTGTTTCAGCTGCCTGCGTATGCTGCGCTACTACCTCTTGCTGCTGCTGCTGCTGCTGCTGTTGCTGCTGTTGCTGCACGCCCGTTTCTGCACGTGCCCTTGCTGCTAATCTGGGGTCCCTTCTTGTTATGTTCGGTGCTGCCATTGGTTGCTGCTGTTGTTGCAATGCCGGTGGTTGAGACCCCACGCCCTGCTGCTGTTGCAGCTGCGAGGTATCTATTGCAGCAGAAGGAGGTTGTGGTGCAGCAACAGGAGCAGCAGCAGCAGCAGCAGCAGCTGCAGCAGGAGGGCCACTATCTATCGGTTGAACCATCGGTACCTCCTCATCANAGCAGCAGCAGCAGCAGCTGCAGCAGGAGGGCCACTATCTATCGGTTGAACCATCGGTACCTCCTCATCAACTTCTCCCTCTTCAACTTGCGAAACTTCACTCATTTCATCGGCTTCTAGAGCTGCGCCCTGCGCACGATGGGGCCCGTTGGGGAGCTGCATATCTTGAACCCCTTCGTCTCCCCTTCCAATACCTCTAACACCTGCTGCAGCAGAATGAGACTGTAAGACTGATCCTGCAGGTGCTGGTGCGGGTGCGGGCGGCAGCCCCTCAGGCAACCGCACAAGCTTACACACTTCATTGTAAGCTACGCAGAAACGCCTGGGGCATATTTTTCCCGTGTAGTAATCAATAAGCTGATCTGCATAAACGCTGCAGCAAACCGTAGGAGGAGGCATACAGCCCGGCAGAGGAGATTGGCAGGCCAATGGGCCTCCCACAACAGCAGCATCCATAACCCTTCCCCTCCCCCCCCCCATAACCATTTGGCCCCCACCCCCGACAGCCATCGGGGGGACCCCGTGGGCGCCCAGCATCGCCCGTGGCTCATAGGGAGCTGTGCGCTCCTTACGGAGGCCCTGACCTTGCTGGTGCCGGCGCCTATGCGGCGGCTGGGAATGGGGAGGCAGCCCCGGTCCGTGTGGTGGTTCTGCCTCCCTTTCAGGCCGGGCCCGGGGCTCTCGGGGGTTAAAGTGGCGCGTGTCTGGCCCAGAGACTAACCCGGGGCCATTCTTCCAATGCTGTTGGTGAAGCGGCTCAGCAACGGCTGCCCTGGGGCCGCCCCGCCACCCTCCCCCGCCGCGGCCCCGGCCCCGGCCCCGGAAAGCATCCCTCATCGGTTCAACAGGTATTACGTGCAGCTATCTTTACGTTCGGCCTAGAAAACGTGTGAGCAACCCGATATCTATGCAACAGCTAATAGAGACTGCCCTTTGAACCCTGCACACTAAGTGCCGCCAGGCCACGCACAAGCGCAGAAACCCGCTACAGTGCAGGAAGCGCCCGGCGGGCTGCTTTCACCCAAACCCGTACGTCTCTGCTGCATAACAACTTTCTAATTACTTTATCATTTCGAAAATCAACTTCATCTGCCTATGAATGCGATGAAAGCGACTCCATTGCGCCTTCACCCTCAGGCCGGTGCGTGTGCCTCCAGCCCCGCAAGCTGCAACGGTACCGCGGACAATGGTGGCATGCGAAATTGACGGGTAAAAGATCTCGTTAAGAGATAATTCGTTTTCAATGTTTTATCACAAAAGAGAATCATGAATATTTTTACAATTAACAAGGAGTATTCACTCGTTCTATCGTAAGGCGGCGAATTCCCGTGCGCCGGTTGGCCGTACCACGGGTCTACGTAGAGGGTAGATGTAACATGAGTTAGCGCAGAGTTAGCTCAGGAGCCTATCGACGGCTTTGGCATGCTGCGCGTAAGC